AAGAAAGAAGAGACGAAAGAGGAAGCTCCGGCACCCTATTCCCGACTTATCTAGGAAGACCGAAGGAGACTGTTCGCAGGGTAGGCAAAGGTATAATATAGTGTGGACAATCACGAGGAAGCGATGCCTTCAAAATTGTTTTTAATTTTATAAGAGGTTACACTTGATTGACTTGCCAATTTTTCTTTTTTCTATGACACTTTCACTTCCACTTTCAATCTTCCAACTTACGAGTAGTATTAGTAGTGAGTAGTTGAAATGTTCGAAGGCAGAATAGCTCCTCTTGAAGTTCGGGTAGTTAGAAAGCCTTTTTAACGCGCAAATGTTGTTTCGATGGTTTTAAACATTCTTTGGTAAGTTCGTAGACAAAAATTATACCTGCAAAGTTAATTAGCCTTCCCTCGTGATCATGCTCACGTCTGATTTTCTTTTTAATTAAACATCAAATTGCAAGTCTTACGTAAGAATGATACTTTTTGATGATGGTAAATGAAAGACAACACCTGAATTTTATGGGCTCTCTAAAAAAAACGTTTGGCTCTATGGTTTTCTAACATTTTTTCCTTAATTCGTCGACAAACATTGTACCAAGCCCGCCCTCGCCATCATACCCAGCTATGATTATTTTTCCTTTTTTCTAAGTAGACGTGTCATCTAATTTTTAATTAAACATCACATTGCAAGTCTAATATAAAAAGACACTTTTTGATTGATGGCAAATGAAACACAACGCCTTAATTTCATGGGCCCATTAGGAAAAAAAGGCTTGGCTAAAATTCACTGTCTTTGAATGACCATATCACGGCCTTCTTCTATACAAATTTTTTCCCAAGAACGATCCTTTGAAAATTTCTGTGGGCCAAAATTTGGTCTACATAGACAAATTTTTTATCCTTCTCTCTGCGTGACCGTTCTTAACAGAAACATCACCTTATTTTGAAACAAACACACGACCGGACCAGCACCACTGGTCCGGCAAAATCAGTCGTTTCGGCCCTTCTATCTCTGACTGCTTAATAGAGGTGGCCGCTTAGTATAGAGGTTTTGGTTCCCATTCTTTTCTACAATTCGCCATTTGCACGCTGATCTCCCATAACACAAATTGTCTGCCCCCCTCCCCACCCCCAATTTTGCATTTCTTTTGTTTTTCATTTCCCCTGGGTATTACAGCCGCCCCAAGAGAAATTGAAAACAATGCTTATGCGAAATTTTGGGGAGCAAACAAGGTGCAGCTGGGAGAAGTGCAATTGGCGATTTTGATTACTGGCCGCTTAATTGAGGTTCAACTGTATATTCACTAGTACATACCATATGATTCTGATAAGCAGTAACAGCCATAAACTGCGTTTCAGTGAAAATGAACGTGCGCAGATGGTCTCTGTTCATTTCATAAAGACTCGTCCTGGAATTGCCTTTCCCTGATTCGTCCAAAATCACGTGGAATCGAGGCTGGTACTTGTGCATTGAGTTTAAGATAATCTGCAAGACAAATAATGCGAGGCCCTAACTATACTCACTGCAGAGATATATCTCCTCTATGTGGGGTGATTCCTATTCTGCTTAAAGTTTGGCGAAAGGCGGTTCACTGGAAGACTATCAAGCGGTTTGTACTGCTGAGATGTTTCAAGAGGAATATTTGATTTAAAAAAAAGGCTCGCTGTAAAACGGCGCTTTTCAGACAAAATAAAAAAGTTAGGAACTTGTGGCATGAGCTGAAAGATTACGCGGAGAAATGCTAATTGGTTTAATTTTGCAATCAGTCTTCTTCCACATTTTTCTGACCCCCACCCGGAATTAAAGTTACTGATGGTCTTCGCGTGGTGGCCATCTTGTGTGGTAAACAGTTCAATTTAACAAGAGAGGCATGATCCCTGGTTAATACGATAATCCTCGGTCATTTCGCTCCAAAGGAGATAAAAAACAAAACCGGAAAATTTAGCTCATCTTCAAGAAAATAAATCCGTATTTGATTGACTGTTTTGTATCAAAGTGTGAGGGAAAGTGCATATTAATAATTGCCAACAACTCAGTGGTTTGTCCAAAACTCACGTCTTCAAAGAGATAATTTGGGCTTGAGCATCAAACTCAGTTATTTGTTTTAAGAAATGAGAAAGGAAACGCCTACATCCAAATACTGCCTACTGAGAGAGTTAACTTGACCTTAAAGGGCTGTAAGATTTAACTCAAAGGACTCCATGTTGGAACCAAGGATTAATCTAATTTTCATGATTAGTCTACTGCGGTTTGAAAGAATTACCGCATGTTGTTGACTCAAAAGTAAACAAAGGATTTCCTGAAAAAGCAGCTGCAGTCTTATGAGGCGTAAAATGCGTCCGGTTTGAAAAAAGTAATCGGCTCCTGACGCTGTAAAAGCCCTCTTTAACGGAAATCAAGAGGACATTATGGAAATTCCTCATTCAGAGGATTTCTCGTATAAAAGTAAGATTAAAAAAATTTGGTTTCAGGCCATCACTTCTTGCTTTCTTATTCCTACTTTTTTTGCCTCTTTTGTGAGAAAACCTTATGCAAATTATATAAGCTTATGCCGACTGATAGATATAAGGTCGAATAAGGTGTCTCAACAATAGACCTGTGATCTTTAGCTTGTAAGTTCTGTTTCCCCAATTCAGGTCATGTGATCGGCTACTCTAAAGAACTGTTTCTTTCAAATTTTGTCTAATTCAAGTGCATATCTGCGCATATTTTTTAAAAAGACAAAGGGACAAGTTGCCCTGGGACACCTATTGGGAAAACAAATACAGACAAGCTAAAGAGGTCTATTGTAAACGCAGAGTATATTTTGGTCAATATTTACTTTAGTTCATTACGATTTCGAGATTTGGCGAATTCTGGAAAGTGTTATTTTCAAACTGGCCTGGACTAATATGTAAGCATAAAGGCTGCTGAGTAACCTGCACTCTCTACCGAGAACTATCAGAAAATTAAGAAGCAACGGTGTTTGCTACCATTAAATTTCCCCCTTTTAACACAGCATAAAAGGTAAAAGACTGATAAAAAATGTTTGTTTCTTCTAACTTATTTCTTTAAATTAAATTATGATTGACAACATACATGCCCATTGTCGTCCATCAGGTTGTTTGTGAGTTTAAGTTTGTCAAAAGAAACGATTTGTTTCATCCATTGCTGTCCAGTACAGGGAGAGTCGGGATGAATGTGTACTCTCCCGGGTACACTGGAGTCTGCTTTACCCGCTACCAGCCATTTGGAACTGTGGAACGCGTATCTATAACGTTTGTCATCCACTGGGACAAAGTCCATCATAAGAATGTACTTGGACGAGGGATCCAAACCTTGCAGGCGCACCTGGAACGTTGGAAACATGCGCCTAACGGGATTTAAAAGAATTAACATAATCAACCACCTCTTTAGGCTCAGCCTCCAGCGAGGCGTGGGTGTCTGGATGCACCCGTAGTACTCCCCAGCCGATGGGTGGGGAATACCGTGGGCGCATCGAGGTATTAATAACTGAGACTGATTATCTTATTCTTTTATTAGACCTAGAGTAGTCAGTATAATAGTTACATCGTCTATCATGGAAGTTTTAAAAAAATGGTTAACTTTTAGCATTCCAGTTTTTCCAGTGAAAAATGTTTGAGCATCACAATTCAAATGTAGCAATAAGTAATGCATGAAAAACGTACTCAAAACCTTTGGTCAAGCTTGGGTAAGATGAAAGAAATATAGCCACATTTTGGTTTTTGGTCACATAAAAAAGCTCACTGGAACAATCAACGACTAAAGTATAAGAACTCTGCTAGAAAACGCTTTGTTAAGAGAGTCATTTCAGTTCGATAAGAACTTGCACCCCAGAAATCTGCCGACAGGAATTGTAGTTCTCGATAGTGTTCTCTGCTACTACGAGATGCACCAATTACAATCCCAACTGGAGAGATTAAACGCCCAGTTCGAGTCAGTATTGGTGCACCGCTGGCACGGCTCTTCGCAGTATCACGCCAACACGGAAGGGCAACCCCCACGTAGACTGTTCACAGTCCCCTATTTTTTCGTGAGATCGTTTAGATGTACCACGTCTTACCGTCACTTTTCAAGAACAGTCTAACCCCCACGAGAATCGACCACGTTTTTGATATTCACACCAACTATAACATGTTTAAACTAGGTTTTAAAAAAGTGAAAAACAGTAATGAAAAACTAGTACACCGCCTTTTTACACAGAATTCAAATTGACTTTTACATGTTACATAATTGCACTACATTTGCCATCGATAAAACTACAGCAAGCAGCATTTCACAAGAAAACAAATTAAAACAATGTTTAACTCTTCAGCTTTTAGTTTTAAACATGTTTAAGCTTTGGTGTTAATGAGGCTTTAGAATTGAGAATGTTTGCAGTTGAAATGTTTGCATGTTAGTACAGTTAATAAGATTCCTAAATGAATGTGAATTTTTTCTCGCCCGTTTAACTTCACCTTATTTGACTCTTTTGTTCCGACTTACAAAACAAAGATGTTCCAAATCTACAGAGTAACATACTATTATATGTTACTACAGAGAATGAGAGATTTATAATGATTTCATCCACTGATTCGAACATGTACCACAGGGCTGAAAGTACTCCTTTCATTTCTTTTTTACGGGATTGCACTCACAATCTCAGGACTGCAGGTACTGCTTTCATTATTTTTTTTAAGATTTCACCCGCAATCTCAAAAGCCTGAACTACCTTTTTCAGAAAAACAAAACCAACCACAGGAAAGCACTGCTTAATTAGTTTCATTATAACAATTAGACTTCAGAATTTCATCTGCAAAGTAAAGATTTAGAGCCACCTTGTACAGCATAATGAACAGTACAACAGGAGAACGCTGCTTTTAGCTGTCATTTAAGTGGCCATACTCTAAAGTTTGAAACATCAAGTACATCATCATAGAGAAACACCACAGGAAATTACTACAAAGTAGCTTTGATTCCAATGGTCATACTTACACGCACTAAAGCAGCTCAAAGCCAGAACCTATACTAATACTTGACGTCATAAGAATTGAATAGGTTGATATCAACAATGGCATCGAGATCTTTTTTTTTCTGAGACAAAAGTTATTATGACCTCGTTCAAGAGCTCAGTAACGTAGTATTGCTTGAATGATTTTGACCTTTCAGGACAGTCAAAGAAATTAGTTCGTACCCAGGATCGAGGATTGACTTTTCGGTAAATGAATAAATATAAGGTCAAAAATACTTGCTTTTCCGTTTTTTGTTGAGATCTTTTCCTGCTGGTGTAGTAAATTATGATGGTACTACTTAACACACTCCCAACTCAGTTTGAGTTTTGCGACACAAAAACGAGTCTTCGCGTGGTATTATGTGTGAGTTTGCAGACAACAATGGAAATTAAGATATTTTACACAATTCTTAAGATATTTCAATCAACCGAAGAAATTTTAATCAATCTCTAGTGCTCCAAAGACAGTTCGGAGTTGCGATTGTTTTTGTGTTTCGATAAAATACTGGGCAGGCGTGTTAATGAGCTTCTTAATAGACCTTCCATGTGGCAGTATTTGTCTTTAGGCTCTCTGTGATATGGAATTTCATATGATTTTTGATCCCAGAGTACTGATGAAATCGGAGGTAGGAGGGTAAAATGTTTTGCCTGATTTATAGCTTCTTGCTACACGCAACATTGAAAGAAGTGTCTATACTTCTATGTTTGCGCCTTGAAAGTCTTAAACCACGCGTACATTATCTTTAAGATTTTGGTTTCCTGTTTATGCTTCACAAACAAGAAGCAAATGAATCCAGATAACTAATTTCCCTGCGGTTGTAACCTGGATAAGACTTCAGAGACGGAAAAATCACGGAAACTTTAATTTGATATGTGTTCAAAGAAAACCACACATCTTTTCGATCCATTGATTAAAAAAAAAATAAAACCATTGAGATAACCATATAAACATGGTCAATTTTGTATAATGTTGAACAGATCAATCAAACCAGGCTTCCACTCCAGGTAAAAGTGACCAAAGTCAAAAGTGAAAAATCTAAATTTCATGTCGCAAAATAAGAAAAAAGGACTCTGCCAAAGTGCCGCTTAAGAAGTTTTCTGTTAGAGTCACAATACGGATCTTTACATGAAGGACTAAGGGATTAACAGAGTAAGAGTAAGGAGGTCTAAAACTAAATTGAGATCAGTCTAGTCAGAGAGAGCAAATGCAGCCCAAACGAAAAAAAACGGACTACAGACCTTCCAGCTTTGGTTACGATCATCTCGGTACCTAGAGCATGAAATTCGTCCCACAAGCTTTTCATCTCTAGATCTACTCTTGCGTTTATAAGCCCAGCACACAATGGCCTTACATTGGCTTGCGAGCAAGAAGATTGGGTCGTTGGGGGACTTGAATTTGGAGAGTGAACATTGTCACCGGAGTCATCCGAATCGTCAGGCATCAGCGGGTTATCTGCTCTCCTCAAAGGCGTTCTTTTACCCGTTCCTGCGTTCATGAGGCGTTCTGTGAAAAAGAAATCACAAATCACAGACGATGATGAAGGGTACAACCGCAGGGGAACGCAAATGCCAAGTGGTGGAACTCATTGATTGATGGAGAATGATATGGACTTAAGGCAATGACACCAGGGTTACAAGCCAGCAGCTCTCGCGCGCGCGCGTTAAACGTACACTTCTACCTTCCATTTCACGCATCAGAACCTGGGAGTTCCAGTGATAGCTGGGATTCTGCTGGAAAAACGCAAAGTCTGCCAGTTGTGCTCTATCGATCAAGTGCGCAATGGAAAAAGCGTTTGCTTTGGGAGAAAGAAATCCAGAACTGTCCATAACACGCACTAAGAGCTGATAAAAGGTCGAGATGGGGCTCCTCAGATCCGATTTGAACCGTCTGAAATCTAATTTGAGCCGTCTGCTGTGAGCTCTATCATGGCTTTCCCTAAACCCTATGGCGAACTAACCCCGTCATTTATTTATACGTGCTGTAAAATCGTGCCAACAAATGGAATATATCCTCTGACCATTAATTAGTTAATTGACGGCATACTGGCACATTGGCGTATAGGATTTTTCAGAGACTCAAATATGTATGTACTAACCTTGACAGGAGATTTCTCACGACACAGCAAAAACAGTACGCACAACTATAACCTGGGCTTATCTTGGATTAGACCTTTACAATTGCGGATCAGTAGGTTTACACTCTTGTCGCGGCCATCAGGTTCGGCTTTTTGAGTGGTTTGTTGAACGAAATGCTGTTAATGCATTTGCGGTATTAAGAGGCACTGTTTTATTATTCACTTGAGGTCTTAACCTCATTCTTAGATCCTTGCCTGTCACAGTAGGGGCCAGATGTCTTTTTAATCAGCCGCTTTCTGTCAGTCAGCTTGTTGTAAACCAGGTGCAAATGACGTCCTGTAGATGAAATCCGTTTTCCTCAACAATATTATCACACTTAACGCGACAAAGTACCGAGTAATCCGTCAGTTTTCGAGTAGAATTTTTTTTTTGCGCCCTTGGGCCAAAAGCTCGCAAACAGTGGATCCAAAGCAACTATCCAAAAAACGTTCAGGGAATTTGTGTCGTTTCCTCCTTAATAACTCGGAGTACAGCAAGTATCAAATTTTGGCAGAGGAATGTACAGAAAAACGCACCTGACTGATCGCTTAAAAAAGAAACTGATGTTTTTTCAATAAAGCTTTCTTTAAAAAAAAACCAATGCAATGATTAATTTTGGCAAAAATGTATACATGAAAGTTGACTACTCATGAAAAGTTCAATGGACCTCTTATTCTTCAAATCTAATACTGTCTAAATTTCAATCATTTGCAGCTATTTACGGGGCAATGTGACTCTCACACTACATTCCATTGCTAGGGCTATTCAAATTAAAGCTTTTGAAAAGTCCCGCTAACATTTACTCTCCTTTTATTAATATTGTGCAAAAATGATTTCTCCTTGAGCGAAGCTCCTTCTGTTCAATAATACGACACTTTTTGAACAAGAAATGGTAAAGCCTCATCGATCATCGCAGCCCGGGAGTCTTTTTGACCTCAACCCTAGGGCTGAGACGCTTAACGCACGATATTATAAAAATCTGTCAGCAAAAATATCAGTGAAATCTCAACAACGTTTCAGTCAATGATGATTGTTTTTGAAAGAAAGAAGACTGAAATATCCAGTTCTTAAGCGATCACAATGACTGATAGTTGCACCTTTTAACTCATCGGGTTTTACTCGTGAACGTAGTGGTGCACGCAGAAACTCACAAGTACTGAAGTAAATCTTCTACGTCGAAGGAGACATTAGTTGAATTCTTTCATTTGAGTTCATTTCCTATTCAGGTCATTAATTCTTGTGAGTTCATGGCCGGTAAGTTGATCGGGTACTAGATAGATAGGTAAAAGTGTTTGGAAAACGTCACTACTCATTCTCCAGTTTTACAGACGCGTGACATCAACTGCCACTTCTGGGTAGAAATATTGGTTGAAGCTATAGAAAGAAAGAAATGTAGCGGCAGTGCTTCTCGTAGTGCTGTACTCTGCAACGATAATATAAACCTGTGTCAAGGTTAACTCTGTCCAGGCACTCTATGGACTTTACTTGGAGGGTGTCGTGAGTCACTGAGGACCTTCTCAGGCAAGATCCATTTAATTAAAAGATATCGTTTTTATTTTATTGTAGGTTTTGCTGTTGGTGGTGTTGACAACAAATCATATCATACAGCTTGTGAGACTGGCAAGACGATTCGGTAAAACGAGCCATGACGGTGCGAATTAGGGCCGGCAAATCTTCGTTGACATACAGTTGAGACTGTGAGGACAATGTGAGGATGTCTCATTGATATTCCGATCGCCTTTTCCTCCCATCACCCCCCCCCCCCCCCCCCCCCCCCCCCCCCCCCCCCCCCCCCCCCCCCCCCCCCCCCCCCCCCCCCCTCGTTCCCCGCCCGCCCCCCCCCCCCCCCCACCCCGACTTTTTTTTTTTTAATTTTTTTTTTTTTTATTTTTTTATATTTATATCAATATTCAAATTTATCTTCATCTTAATTTTATATTTTTTTTTTTTTTTTCTCTTATTTTTCTTTTTTTTTTTGTACTACCGCCCGGCTCCCCCCTCCCCCCCCCCCCCCCCCCCCCCCCCGCCCCAACTCCTCATCCACTCCCTCCGGCCAGAGAGTCACCACTTTGATGCATGATTCTCCGGCGAAACCTCATCATCGGTATTTGCAATTTTATCAATGGTAACTGTTACTTTATCACTATGGTAATATCAAACACGGTTTAGAAACTCCTCTTAAAATTCGATATCGATTTTGCATCTGTTCGCCTAAAGTTTTCATTGGGTTAGTGGAAAAATAATTTCACATAATTCGACGCCAGTCACCTTGGTGGCGGACCCGCCGAATAGTTTGGCCTTTTATTCTAAATGCAAGTAATAAAAACGAAACATTATCCTGGCAAAGCCAGAAATCAGGGCATTTGTCAGTAAAGGTGCCCTAAGGGTAACATTTCTACCCACATGGACGAAAGGACACAAAGAGATGTTTACCTCAGCCGGGCGAAAAAAACAAACAATTTACCCCATGTGGCGTTATACAGAGTCGATGGGCTTAAAACATGCCACATATGTGTACATACATACATGCATACATACATACATACATGTTTTATTTATTTGGAGTCTTATACAATAAATAGTATATCAACTATTTCCAAATAACTAATGAAACAACAAAAAATTCCTAACCATAATGTTGATACTTGATTTCTGGGGGGAGGGGGGGTACTTCCTATAATGACCTATACTGGAAGGCTCCGCCAGAAAGGGGTACCTTTTTCAGGTTTCAGGTGGTAGGGATTTCACGTATAAAAAAGGGTAGGGAAATCTGTCATTTCGGTCGGGAAAAAGACCTAAAAGGACTAACAGACACATTTTATGACTGTGGAAAAGGTTCTGGTTTGGGGATTTCTTTCACATTTTAAGGACAGTGCATTTACAGCAGTTAAAGGGGCTGCATAAGTCAAAGCTAGGTATGTGAAAGACTACTATTTGTCAATAAAAAGTTTACGAAAGGCGTTACTTTTCTGTCAAAAAATGGTGTGGACCAAAAAATGGACCTTATGGCAGATCCTCCCGTACAAAACTTTGATGAGTCCCCCCCCCTCCCGGGACTTGATTCCAATGTTCCGGTTGTATTTAACATTTGTTGTAAGAACAAATGTAAAGAAATTTACTATTTTAAAACATGAGAGGTGTTGTGCTGTACCAAAGACAAACTGTGAGCTTTAGACGCCGGCATGCGGCTCCTGTTCATTTACGTTGGTATTGTCGATGGAAGTCTTCGATAAGTAGTCCTGTTTCTATAAATTCCTTAAGCGATGTTTGTTCCTAAAATGGTTCGCGCATTCAGTGCTGTGTATATTAATACCACATGATAGTTAAAATTCTTTTACACACGTCCTGAAAGAGTTGCAAATAATCTACTCAGATAAGAGCTGATGGCATTCACACAATGGAATTAACTTTGTTCAGCGCAACATATTTCCAATCTGCTTGTGTACTAATTACTGTACAATTTTGTTCGATATATCAGGTGTTTTTCTTACTGAGCAAACGTTGACCAAACCCACTTTGAGTTGATCTTAGGAATAGTTGTCACTCAACGAATTAATCCAATTTAACTCATTCTTGGAGTTCATAACGCTTCTTTTCATTGAAGTTCGATTACTTTCGAGAGCACAGTAAAGTGCTTTCTTAAGTTGCGGTACAGTTCCGTTTTTTGTGGTTGAAGTTTTATATTCCTTTGTTTTGGGGTATGTAACAATGTATGATAAAAATAAAGGAATAAAAGGAAAATGGAATTTATGCCAAGGATAAAAATGAAAGACCACATCATATACATACTACTTAATACGTCTATAACATGCAGTTAACTTAATAAAATGAAACTAATCCAGCCAATCATCCTAACGCTTCACTTAACAAAGATGTTATTTAGGCCTGGCTAGCAATGCCAAAAGAAAGAACGATTTTATTTGAAGCAAGAACTCATTGTCTGCCCTTAAAGGACTGCGCGCAAGCAAAACTCTTTGTTTGAAGATTGATCCCCGATTAAGTATTTTCGTAAACCACCTTATAGCTTGAAGATTAAGATCAAAGTTCGCCAGATAAGGGCGCTGTTCGATATTTATGTCACTGTTGTCCAATTCGTACAATGTCCTCGATTACTGACTTGAAGTTCGAGTTAAACACATTACCACAGTAGAGCATTACTATGAAATTTTGAAGGCTGTTTTCTGCAGGAACATTTAGTGATTATATTTTAGCCCTCTCAAAAACACACCATTATAGGAAAAAACCTGATTTACTGTTGATCTCATTCAGGCGATAAGAAGATTCCTTTGCATTGTACTCCACATCTTTATCAAGGAACCATCACCATCACCGTTTTTGGGCAAAAAATATTTTGCAAGGTTTGCCTCGAGGTAAGTACTTATACAATTCAGTTTTTTAGTCTTTTGGGGGGTGATAATTTTCTTCCTCAAGAAAAACTATCACGGTTTTGAGGAGTTCCTAACCGAACGTATAATTTTACCTTGGTGGGGGAGGGGGGTAACTCAAATGCACGCAAGGAACGTTTTGAGCATTGTTTTGAGTCATTACCATTTTTAAGGCTGCTTGCTATAATATGTGGATTTAGCAAAGCCTAAAAGGGGAGCTCCCATTAGATACTAGCCAATTTCTTTTAAAAATGAACGTTAAATCGGTCTAAAGAAAACGCAAATCTACTTTACTTTGAAAAAAATGTTAAGGCCAGGTTACTCAGG